GCACTCGATATATGATCCATTGTTGATCTGCACACAGCTGTTGTCACGAACGTCGCACTCGCTTATGTCACTGTCATGAGACATTCTCGCAAGAAAATCATAGTTTTAGTAACGCAGTAACGCAGCGTTCCTATGGGAAAGTAACGGTAATCTAATTACTGTTTTTGCAATAGTAATCCCTTACTTTACTTGTTACCTGAAAAAGTAATCGGATTACAGTAACGCGTTACAAGTAACTCTACAAGCTCTTTCAGTGAGGATCTTTCTGATGGTCATCCACACCCCAAGAGGCCAGATGTTCCCAGGAGCTCCAGACCAAGAGTGATTAATGGTTCTTTTATATTTCGTCTGCTTCTGAATGACTGCACCAACAGTTGTCACCTTTCCAACAAGATCTACAACCCTGACATCCTTTGACCAGTCTTTGGTCAGGTCCATGGTGGTGGAGAGGCTGGGGGGAAAAACACCATCAGGTGTGATTTCTTCAGCTGCTGGGTGGAGATCAGGAGCATCTGTAATGGAGCCAATCACAGCCTGCAAATCATTGGAACTTTCATATGACGCGTTTTTGGATTTGTGGGTGATGTTCTTGCTCTCTCCATTAAAATTAAAGATGCAAATGAATGATTGTTCATTTCTTTCTAATTTATAAAGGGTTCAAATAATCATTTCCCCCAAGCTGCTGGTCACACATCCTGAATAATCCTGCGAGAAAGACCCCCCACCCACCGACTAACCCACTGATTATGTGCTCTACAAATGAAAACAATTGAAAACATGATGCTGATATAAACTTACACTATTGGGTCTAAATGAACATGTCAAACCAAACAAGCAGCTCCAAATGAAATGTCCACACAGTGTAGCTGATGTTGTTGTTGTAATAGAAGCTCTCATCTTGGATATGTTTCAGTATGAATGTTATCTCTGTCACACCTTTGTAGCTCCATCAGTGGCACCAGAAACAAAGAGCATGAAGCTGGAATAAACTGGTGCTTTCTGAAACCAGCGACACAAAGCTGTTTGTGGTTTTGGTAATTATAAGTGAGGGAACAGCAACGAGACAGCTCCAGACATGTTTGGGACACATACGCCTGCTCCTGCCAAACGTCTTTAGGACAGCTCCGGTGGAAAAGGCTTCATTAACCCAACTGCTAAATAGATTCCTACAGGATGCTTTAAACGTTTTCACATCCTGCCCAGTTCAGCTCACACTGTCTCGTTTCTGGAGCTGTTACAGTGATCAATACAGCTTAGTCCTGTCTGACTGCAGATCAGGCTGAGGATGCAGATCAGAGCTGCTCAGTGTCTGAAAGCTGATCTCAACCCTCCACATTCTTTCAGTTCCTCAGGTAGGACAGCTGTCCCAGACCTCACACACTAAGCACCTTATAATCACCCTCTGTAGCAGGGAACATGCTGCAGCTTGTCCCGCATGTGTGGGAGCTGTGTGGAAACACTGGATTTCCACTGGTCAGAGCTTTTTCTGATTGTTCATCCTCAACCTCTCGATGTAGTACTACGCATTTAAGAGAAAAAGCTCCCCAAAGTGCGCTGGTCCAGATAAAAATGAAACATTTGTTTTTAAAAAGCGTGTGAGGTTACAGTGTGTGTTTTAACCGGGTAAAAAGATGAGGTGACAGCACAAAGCTGTACTTTCTGTCCTCCTGTGTAAATATGCTCCATGTACAGTCAGGATAGATTTCCAATGATGCCATAAATGCCTCTCAGATGTATAACAACACAGAGCAGTTGAGTAAATGATGGGCCTTTATTCTGAAACTTCAGTGAAACCCAAGTATCCTCCTGAGCCTGCCGGAGGTTTCTTCCTGTTTAAAGGGAGTTTTTCCTTCCCACTGTCGCCAAAGTGCTGCTCATAG